CTAACCTAACCAACTAATACATAAGTGATTGAAAAGTGAATTGACTGACTGATTCCTGACTAACTGAGCATAAAATATAACAACATTTTAATCTCCAGGATTATAGCAGTGTTTTTAAGAATATTAACAGCTTGTTTCTCAACTTCACACTATCTGCGAACTCTTTGTTCCTTTCCCTGCTTGTTCGTTAGCAGGGATGCTCTCTTTCCTGGAAAAGCAGGGATGCACAACTATAACTTGATAACAAAATTACAATTTAATATACTATCTATTAAATTTAATCTATATATGTATACTATGTATTAGCTAATCTTCGAACATTTATGATGTTCTTGCGAATTAAATCTAGAGTTCTACTTGACCAGTATAAAAGTCAAATTGTCGTTCACTTAAACTAGATTATATCGCTCGTTAATTGATCTTCAATAATACTTCGAAGAAAGATTCTTCATATCTTCCATGATAGAGCTCTTAATGTTACTTACTTGTTCAACAGTTTATTTCATGTTATTTAATTTTTTGAAACACAATGATCTATTGAATTAATTATTCAATTTTGGTTGCAAAGTAATGCATATAAGCAAACAATAAAAACTAAACAAAAGAATCTTTTAACAAAAAATATTTATAAATATTACTACACTTGCTTTACTTGCCCTTAATTTTAAAGTCTGAAATAAAATTTCACCAATTCTGTAGCCACAGAAGACACACTTCTGTTACTAAAACGGGTGTAGAGTAAACAAGTATCTGCAAGTACGGGTACTTGCATATTTTGTCACTGACCTTCTTCAATTAACTCAAGGTTGTTAAATGCACTTGCGGAGTTTTTCTGCTTATTGCACTTGTGTTTCTCTCCGAACAACTTGTAAGTACAAACAACATAACCAACTGCTGCTATTCACGGCAACTAACATCATTTTTTACTAGCCCATAAAACAAAAACAAGATACGAGTAAGTCGGGAAAGAAAAAATGCTAGAACTGCGCTCACATCCGTTAGCTACGCATAAAGTATCTTTTACAACTACAACTTAAACCGCTGCGAGACAGCAACTGTGGCATCTATGAGAACTGCGACGGAGTCTGTTCTTTACGTTTCTTCGCTATTAAATATTTATACAGATTTATATATTTTCTACATATTTTATGACTTTTGGATCAGTTTACTGCTTCTGCGCTCGCCTTTATGTTGCCGTACGTTCTCCTTTCAACACTAAAGCTGTCACCAGCAGCAAACGTTTTCTCGCAGTGTGGCCGGTTTCTTATCAACGACGACGTGTGTGATTTTTCTCGAACACGTTCATAAGCCGTAACATAAATAAACGAATACTCGCATAAAGCAGCGCTTTTCGATCTGGCATCTTCCACGACTTTGGCTAGTTGGGTTGCTAGCCATTGCCGTCGCAGTGGATTGCGTCTGAACTTGCGTTTGTGACTTTGACTGTGACTGTGACTTTTGTTTTTCTGTTTTGAGTTGTGTGCGCAGGCGCATATTCTCTGTAACTTTGGTAATTTATCTATGACTGAACATCACGTCCTCGTTGTGAGTCTATGCTTTCTGTCTTTTTTGTCTTTTTTTGTCTTTGAAGCTCGTTTGAAGCCACGTTTTGTACTGTTTTGTTTTGCATATTTTATGCTATGTGACACAGTCCATGGTTCTGCAATGTGTGGTTTCAGGTTTATTTGTAGATCGCTAAACTACATGTTAATATCTTTTTTTACTAAAGAATCGCCTAAAAAATAAAATATGTAACGTGTGTGTAAATCGAACTGTTGTAGAAGTTTTTCACAGTTTTCTTAATGCAGGTTAGTAAAGTAGGTTTTCCATATCTATACTAAACAGCATGTGCAGATCTAGAAGGCCTGATGCGTGCATATGAATATCTGTGACACTTGAAAGAAAATTTATTTGCAGTTTGGCATGGAAAAAGCGGTTTGAAGGAATTAGAATAAATCCTTGGCACTTTTTCAACGGAATTCGGTGCCATTTTCATTATTAATTTATTTGGTTAAATGACGAATAAAAATGTTAAAAATTTGCAGAAGAAAAGTTTTTTAATAATTTACAAAATCTACCTATGTATTAACTGGATTTATTTATACTGATTAAAGCTTATGTAAATTATTTAAAAATATATTCATTTTAAATATATCCACTTATATAAAAAAAATGTTAAATAAGTACTTCTATTAAATTTGTTCACTCTGTTGAGAATTTCAGAATTAATAGTTCGTTAAAATAATTTTTCTGAAAACTTCATATCTGAATACTAAGATATAGTATATAGCACGGTATTCATGAAAGATACAACACTTAAACCAACAAATGACATTTCGACCGCCTTATAAAAAGAAAATATCCTCACCAATTCATTAAAATATACTAAACACAGAAAATGCAGATCTGAAAGTAAGTCCACGCTAATGTAATATTTTAACCAATAATCACATAGAAAAGGAGACATTATAACCATCAGATATCATAGTTCCTGATACAGATAATGATCTCGGTTACATTATACCGTAAAATACGAGAAAGAAGAGTAACTACTATATTATCCAGGCAAATCAGAAGATACAATAAGTACATAAAAACAAAGGCATTATTCTAAACTACATTATACTCTAAGAGACGAGGAGTTTAACTACTTCGTTACACAGGTAACGAACATACTGCTATGGTCAACATAGTTGGCAACATAGTTGGCATCTGCAGGTTACAAAAATGGTTCAAAAAAGGAAACAGAAAGTGGGCCAATAATATCAAGCGGTTATCAAAACTGGGAGAAGGTTCTCCAACAGAACACATCTCTTCATTACAGAGAAAACAGAAAGCTTATCGTGGCCCAAGAAAACAGTTAAAAGCAGTTTATAAGTCGTAAACACTTGGCATAAAGGTCGATCTTAGTCTGAAAAAACTGATGAAAAAAATCAGTATCATAACAATAGCAAATAGAGGGCAGTGATGCGAAGAAATAAAAGCACAAGGACAAACGAAACTTGCGGAATAAAAGCAAATGATGAATAGATCTGATTTGAGATTGCTGTACTAATAGAATAACAACTACCTTTTTCTATTATACGTTGAGTCAACGTGATACGAAAACTGAACTACAGAGACGAAAAAATTTCTGACAGTATCGATAAAATACATAAAAATGTCAATGAATGAGAGTTATTCCGATTTAGCGTTCAAATGATCTTTATAAACTTTTGGAAATCATTATGGATTTTAATGATTTCATGAACGAAATGAAAGAATTAGAAGAAAAGATATTACTGATGAGTTCTGCAGTTTGAAAATTGTAAATGATTCTATATCTTGAAAATTATCTAAAGTTTTCTTATTAATAATCGTACTGTTAACGACTTTTTCTTTTCTCTCTTCGAACTCATATTATAAAAGAATTATACACTCCATATACTCCATTTTCATTTTAAAACAACAACAAATGAACTACATTAAATTCAATATATGAGAAAAACCTTTGATTGAATTGGATTGGACACTGATGGATAACACAAAAGTCAAGTATGCCATGACATTGGTTTGATATGTCTTCCCAAGCGTTTTTGCAGAATTTTAATGTAAGTTTAAGATGCCTAGCGGCTGCTTTGAACTTAAGAAGAATTTAAAATTCGCAAAACGAAAAAGTGTTCCCAATTCTATGTATAATGTATATATTTTTTTTTTTAAATCCATTTATTTTATTACAATCTGTCAGGTATGAATGACAATAAGTAATATATATAATTATAAATCGTAATAATAGTTATTACTATCTAAAAAAAAAGAAAGGCACGTATGGACTATGGCCAGTGACATATCCATATATATTTTAAATAACATTGTGTGATCTATATATACATATCTAAAATATCTCTCGATGTTTTCCTTCTCAGTCTTGTAAACGTGTTGGAAGGGGACATCAGGTGTGTAACCAGCGGGTTTGGGTGCATATATATGCGATGACCGTAATTCTTTAAAATACTGGCTATTTCTTCCTTGATTGTCCGAACATGTAATTGTTTATGCAACTGTTCATTCGTTATATACCAAGGTGCATTTGTGATCATTCGTAATGTTTTAGATTGGAAACGCTCGATAATTGCCAGGTTTGAGTCTGCTGCAGTACCCCATAATTGGGCCCCATAACTCCATATAGGTTTTAGTACAGATTTGTATATAAGCAGCTTATTGTCAAGTGATAGTTTGGAATTTCGGCTGATATATATGATATATATTTCGGTATATATTACATAAAAGAGATACATATGCTAGATGCTAAATTGACAATATATCGTACAAATGTCAAAATTTTATAAAGTTTGCAAGTTTTTCTAATTCATAATATTGATTCATGAATTATTATTTATTTATTATTAATGAATTAAATTAAAAAATTGTGTTCCATTTGAATAATACGTGCAGCATATAAATCATTTTAATTACAAATATTATTAAAAAATTTAACCTTTCAAAAGCATAAAGCAGAGATCGTTAATCTTCGCTACTGCATAGTACATAGTACAGTATTATTTTTATAATAAATTAACAAAACATTTCATAAACTAAATGCAGTGCAGTAAAGTATATAAAAGCCAAACGTTCCTCAAACATTTCTGCCATAGACAGCAATTATAAAAATAATTATGAAAAAATTTAATACAAAAAAAAACTTGTAGAATTTTTTGCATTTTGTAACGGATGCTATAAAATATTTATAAGATATAAAATATAAGATACAACACATACATAAGTATGCGTTAATGCTCATATGGTATATATAAAAGCATAGGAACGCAGAAAAATGTGAATGAAAAATTACGTTTACGGAATATTAAAGGAGCAAATATAATAAATTCACCACAGTTACGTACAACATATTTTTTAAATACAATAATAAGACATTTAATTAACCGATAACGACTATGTTATATTATTTATATATATTTTTTAAATGATATTTAATTACGAAATCTGAACGAAATACTCACCAAAAGTAGTGAAAATGGAATTGTATCTGAAAAGATAAAGCAGAAAATAAGCTATTATTGCTTAAATACTATAATAAGCAATTAATTACTTTTAATTAGCATTTAACAAACAATTTGAGTGGAAAAATATTTGCATATTTAAAAAATAATTTGCGAACAAAAAGTCAACAAATAAATATTTAATAACGCCGGTTTTGCAAATTGCGCCGGCATGATCAGTGGGTTTGCATATATCATTAAAATTAAAATCGCTGCAGTATCGTTGAAGCTGTAAAGATATTCTAAGCTTAACAAAATATTTAAGTAAATATATTTGCATCAAAAATCGAGTTGTGGCCTGGCATAATATAATTCATATTACTCTTATTACATTTTATAATAATTATTATTATCATAACTTAATTGTACGTGTATTAAAAATCTATTAATATTACACGAACATACTTGGCTATCAAAGTGTCACTTTAGAAATATGAATACAGCTCGGTTATACTAATTTGGTTTTTATATATTTAATTCTATTTATAAGAATCAATAATACACATTTATTTGAATTCATACTACGACATACTATATACATATGTAATACTCGAATAATACTCAAACTTCACACATATAAAGACATTTGCGTAGAATAGCTTAATATTGCTTTTCAATTTTGCATCATATGTGGATTAATAATGTCAAGCTTATATTCTTATACTCTTAAATAGGGCTATTCAGACTAGATGGGACCGTGGGCCAATACAAATTACTATATAGTTTGGAGGTCCGCAGAAACATGTATTTGTTTCTGCGGACCTCATAGTTGTTCATAGTTGTTTTTAACAAAAATAAAAATGCGGTTATAATGTTAAATTTAGTTTTATTAATTTATTAATTGAAATTTATTTGTATGTTATACCATAAGAATAAAAAATCGTAGTTTACCCAGTACACCAAAAGAAAATTTGCGTAATTGTAGCAGATTAAATGCATGTCGCGGGCCGCACAAACATTGGCCGAAGGCACATGTGGCCCGCGGACCGTGCTTTAGACAGCCCTACTCTTAAACATCGAAATCGAGTGTGCTAAATCAAAATTTCATATGAACTGGTATATCAAATTTTTATGTCAAATATATTGATATTTATTATTCTAATACCTTTACGAAGTGTACACGACAGAAAATAAAGACAAATTTATGCACAATAAGGTAATCTTTATCTTCTTTCGGAACAAATATTATACTAAGCAATTGGATAATAACTAAATTCATTAAAATTAAACCCATAATCGTATGGGGATAATTAATTTTTAAAATTGATTTTATTTTTAATGTTATATTAATGCTATTCGTGAATTATATTATATTTAAAGCTACATTATATCCTATATAAAACACACGTAATCTGTTTGCTAAGGCATATAATCAAAATTCCTATCACACGATACTAGATACTCGACTGTGAAATCTTAAAAATATGTAAAAGAAAATTATCAAAAAAGTGATAAATCACTGGAGTTAAAAATATATCGATAACATTGCAAGTAATCTAAATTTGTTTATTTACTATTAATATTTTATTATTAAATATTATATAAACCCTTGCCAACTGTTGCTTCAAAACCCACAGAAAATATTTCGACAGTACTCCTTTTGATGGTATACTGCGCTGTCGTTGACCAGTTACGGTTCCTCCGTCGCCATCCTTTTTACAGACTCCTGTCTAAACATGCAACTCTATTCGCAACCTACGACCAAAATATCCAGTGGGTAGCTTGCGGGTAGAGGTTTTTAAGGCAGTGACCTTTTTCCGATTGTTTGGGTCGCGGGAGGTATTTTATTTCTCTCCTGCCACGCGATAACGGGAAAGGCTTCCGCTATCCGCTGCCTGCAAGCGTCCTCTAGAGTTTACAGCCTATCCCTAGGATATATTTAAATGGCAGCCGCTCTTTCCAAAGACATGGGTCATTTTGGTGTTACAAGTGTATTCCCGGACTACCATATCTAAGATCTGGAAAATATTTTAATAAAGCTGATACTCTGTTTGTTTCTTATAATTAAGATATCAGACAGACATTTGTTGAATGGAGACCCCAAATTGGATGTGAATCTTCTGCTGAGAACCGAGCAATGACAGACTAGAGTAACACTTACATGATACAACAGTAGCTCTTAAAAGTAGCCAGTAGTCAGTTGGCATAACTTCATGTGATCATACTCTTTAAAATTAAAATAAGTATTTGTGCTTCTTAAAAATAGAAATTTCAACTAGAAGCGAGTTGAAAAATATAATTAAATATTCACAACATTAGGTAATAAATTAAACAAAAATAATGCAAATTAGTTTTTTGTACGTACCACTTCTGTGGCCTTTAAGTACTTAGACTGTCACAAATTTGTGGTTTGCAAATAATTTATTGACATTTGCAGACAAATCTTTCTCATAAAAAATGAAATAATTCAATGCAAACTAAGAAAAAAATAGCAAAATTGTAGTTTGTAGAATTGAAAAATATAACAATAATTTCCTGCCAAATAAATTTGCACAATAATTGCAAATTAAAAAAAATTTATTATTTATTTTAAACAACATTTAATATATTTCAGTTAAACAAAATATTGAAATATTTATGAACATTTATGTTTGTCGAAAAAAAAAATAATTTAAATAAAACCTCAAGTGACAACAGTGCTCAAGTATTCAAAAATTGCCAACAAATTATGTTACTTGTTTGAACCTTAAAAATTATTAAAGTCTTTAAGTTTAAATTTGGTTTAAATTTGGAATGATGTCATTTGTTAAAAGTTAAAAGTTAAGATAAGTAACCAAAAATAAATAAAATACTTAACATTAAATTTTAATTTTTTCCGCACTTCACCTTGTATGTTTATTTTTTTTTTTTCGTTTTAGTTTTCAAATAAATTCAATAGAATGTAAAAGTATTTATGTTGGTATTGTTTTATTTTAATTTATTGTTATTGTTTTTGACTTTAAATTGCTACCAATTTATACCGAACTCATACCATACACAAAAGTAAATATTGAATAAAAATCTTTGGAAATGAAATTATTGTACACCTAAACTCATAAATTTGTATGAGCCTATAAAAGCAGCTCGGAGCGTGGGTGGCACCCTCTGAACTTATCTGAACACTCTGATCTAGATTAAAATGTGTACAATCCGCATTCACATTCGTAGATGAGTGCAGTCAAGCTGAGCTTACAACTTAAACCACTGGGCTTTGTACTCCTCCGAAGCGAAACAGACAAGCACATTGTCTGTTTTGTCAACTTGACAAAACCGTAGACAGTTCAAGTAATAATCAAAGTAAAATATTGTCAATTATTGTTAAAAATCTTCTCTGAATTCGTAACATCTACGAAATGCATTAATTTGACGACGAAGGAAAAAATGCCGGAAATCAAAGTATTCAATAGTTTCTCGAGATGGAGATCGTTTGGATTTGATATGAACTCAATTTATTTATAAAACCCGCATAATTGTTGACTTAATTTGAATATATCTGAGCGAATATGGACGGCAGTGATGTACTGAAAGACGTGTGGGAGCTGCCAAATATTATTTTGTCTAATTTTGCATACCTTTTACACGCTACACTCGAATATGAAGTAGTTTTTTTTTTAATTTATTAAAACTTGTGTTATTAATTTCATATCATAAAAATGCTTTTTAAATGGTCAAGAAAAGTAACTAACTTCTCAGCTAGTATCATAATTTTTCTGGGCAGTCCAGACCAGAGACGTTCGCAGGTCAACACAAGTCTTTGTACAGATTGGAGGGCCGCAAAAACAAGTACATCCATCCATGGAGAAAAATAATAATACGGCGATAAACTTAAATTTAGTTTTATTAATTATTCATTTCAATTAATTTTTTTTTGGATACCATAAAAATAAAATAATGTATCAAAGCAAAATTTGTGTAGATGAGAAGCATGTCGTGGGGCGCATGTAGCTCGTGAACTGTGCTTTGGACAGCCCTGATATAAATTATTCTTATATCAGAATCTTATGTCCTATGACAAAAAATCCATTTCAAATAGAAGAGAGAGTATTAGTGAGCAAATTGTAAAAGTAAAAATTTTTTTACCTTTTAATCAAGTGACACTTAATGCCAAAAATTACAAATAGAATATTTAACCAATATATGTTTTCAAATAGAAATTATGGTGGTTATTAAACGATATTTGATATAGCTATTAACCCAAGAATTCATCTGATTAAGAATAAACACAATTATTTCAATTATTTTTATACAGATGTGTATAAATCAGATGTTATTTATATTTTTTACTTCTTTTTGGAGTACAGAACTGTTATCTAATTCCAGATAATAATTTCATTAGACGGCAGATTAGTATTAGATGTATAGAACATGAGTATTTTTTTGAGGTATATTTTTTAAAAATTTAATTCTATAAGTTTAACTAAATGTAATATTAATAATTCCTGAACTTAGCTTATTATTTTATTATAAACTTGAATAATTATTTATTTTTCTAATCAATCTCTTACAACCCACAATAACAAGATTACTTATTACATTAGTGAAATAATTTCTTGAGGAACTATTAGTGAAGCACTTAACAGCATGATAGAAATGACTTTTGTAATAGTTACCATGGGCATAGCCGGGGGAGATTAACGCAATGACCCCCCAGGTTCACTTTTATAACGAAATAATATATTGTTATTTATATGAATCTTTGTCGTATTGACGCCCCTACCCCATGGCTATACTCATAGTAGTTTTAGTGATTTGTTAAGACAAATAAATAATTTGGCTAACCAAAAACTGCTATCCCAAAACATGGCATTAACTGGATGGATGTATTACACCATTTTAATTATTAAAACAAAATATTTTATAAAATAAAGTTTGTTAAATTGACAATTACTTATTGTTGTTATTTTATTAAGTAATAATTGTTATTATATTAGTTTTTCTTAATGATCATAATTGGTTTGCTATTTTAGCTTTTACTTCAAGTTTTTACTTAACCGAATTATTGCAGCGA